ACAGTCTTCATTTGCATCTCTGGCTGGAGGAGGATCTTACCCATTTTCGTAAAGGGTTGAAGACCTTCCTCTTCGACTTGCCTGATTAAGTTGCTGAGTGTGCCTAAGGTAGCTGAGATGGATAGTGACTGACAATAGTGATTTTGGTTTTAGTATATTAATATATTATTTTAGCATTTTATAGTGTTGTGTTTTATTGTTCATTTTGGACTATATATGTTTGTTGCTCCACCCTTTGATGGAAAGGTCATTATACATAAGTGTTATTACTACTACTAAACCCAGAGGTTGGACTAGGATTTCAACCAGAAGCTGCAAGCCAGCCGATACTGTTGGACTCTGTATCAGAACAAGCTGTTCCCTGCTGGGAACTTCTCAGCCTTCCTCTGAGACTAATTGTCAATTAAGCAGATGGGAAATTGGGCATGATGCAGAAAGGCATGGGGGGGGGCAATGACTGCTGTGCAAACTGAAAAGAAAAGGGAGTCCTATGGCATGGGTGGTATAGGATCAGGCCTTCAGGAAGAAATAGGACTGTGCATATCTTTCTCTGCAGTTTCTGACCTGGCTGGGCAGACCAGAAAACATCTGCATATGTGCAAGGAGCAGTTATATGATTCCCATCCTTCCAAACACCTCTAAGACATTAGGTGGTGCCATTGAGGGAAGTCATTAAAAAACATCAAAGCTGGTTATTCTCTGTACTTCTAAATTAAATGGCTCTGTATGAAAGTGACTCAGATTGCTAATCATGGTAACGGAAAAGTGATTGAATCCAAATGATGGTAGAGGAGGAGGCATGGGTTTCCCTCGCCCTCCCCATGCCAGTAGGCCAGGAGTATCAGCCATTGCTGTTTTCATGCTGGTATTGGAGACAAAGTGGCAAATCACCTCTGAAGAAACCTGCCAAGAAAACTCTGTGTTAGGTTTGCCTTAGGATCTCCATTAGTAGGAAGCAACTTGAAGGCACACAACAACAACAATTGGAGACAAAGCAGCAAATGCCTATCTCACTCCTGTCTGTGGTCAGTGGGAACAGAGTAGTATTAGCCTCTCCCTTCCTCAGCAGGCTTAAAGCAGATTTTCCATGCATCCCTGTGCCACAGTGATTCTACTGAAAACCATTGGAATGGAAGTAAAAACCCAACACCGTTGGTGTGTGTGGCCTTATAAAAGCATGCATACAGGCACATACAACATCAGGCAACAGCAGATGTGGCCCTCACATGAGCATAACCCTCACTGTACACCTGCCCAAAGATTGTGCACCCCTGGTACAAGCCTTTTTTGTAGTTGTCATAGTTAAAATTCTGTTGTTGTTGTTGTTTTAAAACTCTGGCTGTAGCCTCCCAGTTTCCATTCTAACCTCCTAACAATCGATCTGGTCATGAGTGACTATCATAAGGTGCCCCAGTGAGCTTCTTGGATCTCCTTAGTCTTATGGTTTAATCATTGGAGAGTTTTAGACAAACTGCTTCTTGCAACACGTTCAATTCTGAAATGACAGCTAAAACTGCAGAGAAAGAATAAGTGCTGCTAGATGGGAGATGAGTCTTTCTTCTGTTTTATTATTGCTGACTCCTTGTTGCATTTTTTATCGTTTTATGGTATTTTTGTTTTTAACTCTTTCTTGGTTTAATTTTGTTTTAAGGGGATGGGAGGGTTGGGGTGTGGGATGAGGAAATGTTTTAACTCTGACTGTTTTAAATGCTGTAACCCGCCCCGATTGCCGCGCAGAGGGGCAGGCTATAAATAAAATTTATTATTATTATTATTATTATTTATTATTATTATAACACTTAGAATGGGTTACATGGACTTCCTGTTATTCTTGCCTGCTGCCCCAGATCCTCTCCTTCTTCCATGTTTACTTATACAAACTTTAAGGAAAAGGTTGCATCCTTGGATGGGGGTTATTTTTCTGTATACTCCTATGTATTCTGGCTGGCTTGATGCTTCATATAATGTTGAGTGGAGCTCCACAATGCTGTTCCACTCATACTTTGTTATCTGAAACCCTGGACTCCTCATTCCCAGATTCTCCTGTGTGTATACACACACATATACACAATTATACACTCTAAGTTGCAGTGATGAGAATTATGCTGGGGTGTGTGTGTCAGTGTTACTTTTTTACACACAGTGTTTTTTTTACACACAGTGTTACCTTTTTTTATACATGTAATACCTACATTCTAATTGCATTTTGGGATGAATGGATGGAGGGAGGGTAGACAGACAAATGGACAATTGGATACACAGACAGACAGACTTGACTATATGTGTAAATATCTGTAGATGCTTCTGGATACATAGCTTCCAAATACTGTATCAGATAACAATGTGCATCTAATCTGTATTTCTCTCCTTAGCCATTTTGGAAGGGTTTCTTTGGGTGGTGATGGAAGGAGTGGTAGGAGAACTAGAAGGATCTACAAATGCAAAAGACTATATTAGACACCCCCCTCCCCACAATTCAGGACAATTACTTAATAAAAGCCTCTCTGCAGCTTATTGTGCCTTTTAACAAATGTTAATTAAAGTTGCCTGGAGTCGAGATCCATGTTCAATTTCAGCACTTCCGTTTCTCTCTCACTCTTAAACTGCTGGGGACATAATCAATACATCATTAGTTAGCGTCTGGAGCAGGCAGGATGAGTGGGTGCAAAGCAAGGTCTGCCTGTGAATAGGCTTGTTGAAAATATATAGTATGCTCTCCCCCAATTCTCAAGACTTGGTATGCTGGAATGGAGAAAGTACCTGAAGAATTTAAGGGTTGATTTGTAGCTTCTGCCTTTCTAGAATGTCTGTGCTTATGGGAGTTTTCGTCCCTAGACAAAACCACAGTTCACTCCTCTGGCAGAGAGGTACCTGGGGACAGAGATGTATAAGGCTGGGGAACATGTAGCCCTCCAGGTATTACTGGATTACAGCTCCCATCAGCCCTAGTCAGTGTAGCAACCAGTGAGAAATAATGAGAGTTGCACTCCAACATCTTGGGGGAGGGAGCAACACATTCTATATCCCTGTTGGCTGCACTAGCAGGCCCTTATTTAACTCTTTTAATATGAAAGCAAGAGGTGCCTGGAATTTTTTTGTAATGCAAAAGGGATGCAGAAGTGTTTCTCTTTTATCTGTTGCTTACTTCCCCATTGCATCCTTCTTTCCTCCAGCACTCTCCTTTCCCTGTCATGATCCAATGCCAGGTGTAAGCAACTCTGGGGATAAAAGTAGCCAGGGGAGAGTGGGATAGTAATGAGATATGTTTTGAAAGGGAATGGTTATGGGGAAGGCTTAGCACTTGTTGACCTTGTTGTTGTTAAATGCCCTGGAGTCAGCCCTGAATCATGGTAACCCTGTGGATAGACTTCTCAAAGCCCCCCTATCTTTCACTGCTCAGCTCAGTTCCTGTAGCTGCATGCCCATGAACTGTCTGGTTGAGTCTATCAATCCATCTGGTGTGTGGTCTATCTCTCTACTGTTCTCCACTTTCCCAAGCATTAATGTTTTTTCAAGTGAGTCATGCCTTCTCATGATGTGGCCAAAATATGGCAACTTCATTTTCATCATCTTGGCTTTCAAGAGGATTTCTGGTTTGATCTGTTCTAGGACCCATTTATTTGTCTTTTTGGCTGTCCGTGGTATCCTCAGCACTGTTCTTTAACATCACATCTCAAATGAGGTGATTTTTTTCTTGTCCATTTTCTTCACTGTCCAGTTCTTACATCTATACATGGTGATAGGAAATGACTTGGGTGAGTCTGACTTTAATATATGTCTTTACTCTTTAGGATCATCTCTATTTCTTTCTTAGCTGCCCTTCCCATTCCTAGTTTTATTATTTCTTGGTGCAGTCACCATTCTGATCAATGTTTGATCCTAGGTATGGGCACACTTTAACTATTTAACTATTTAACAGTTAACTCTTTAACAGCAACAAAAGTCTGACCTGTTCCACTGTAAAAAGTCATCTCCTGTGATTGGGAATTTGTTTTTGTTGCCTGTTAAATTCATGGTATTTCTTAGGTAAGGAATACTCAGGGGTGGTTTTGCCAGTTCCTTCCCCTTAAATATAGCACCTGGTATTCATTTGTGGTTTCCCATCCAAGTACTAAGCAGAGCTGACCCTGCTTATCTTCCAAGATCAGATGGGATCTGGTGCCTGTAGACCTGGTTTAAAGAAACAAGCCCACTGACATTACTATGAGTCTTTTGCCATGCCAAGCTGTTAGACCTCATGATCTAACAGTTGTGCCCCCAGAGTTTTAAGAAATCCTGGTGTTCAGGTCTTGCGATACTTTGCTGCCAGCTCTAGATTTTTTGACATAGATGGTGAATTCTTGGGTTGCTGGAATTGCCCTCTCTCTTCATTCATCCAGCCCCATAGTAGTGTATATCATGCTTTTGCTAACATAACTGTCATCATAACTTCTCTTCAATAATTCTGGGATTTGAAAGTTCATTAGAGTACTGTGAGTTTCTGTTGAGAATCCTTTAATGCTAGCTTTGTGGCTGAGCAAGGATCTCTCTGGGGCTCTGTCCAGTACACTGTGGATCATATTTTCTCAAGCAGAGTTTGGATAATATGCTCACAGGTTTGCCACCTTTTTGTGTAATGAGGGAGAAGGAATGGGAAAATGCATCAAAGTTTTATGGTACAGCCATATCTCAGTTAACAAAGCCCTTGACAAAGAAACTCCTTTTTACAAAGTCTTCTTCTGGCCTCCCAGACTCCCCTTCTGTCTAGCTAGAAGCTTTTTAGCAGCATTGCCATCAGGAAGATGGTGTAGAGAAACACAGGCTTTTGTTGATGAGCTGCAATAGCATGTCTGTAGTAAACAGTGTATTAATAAATGCAAGAAAACCTGAACCAAGGAAGTCTGAACTAGGAAAGAACTAGGAAAGAATGAGATCTACTCTAGCTGATCCTACTACAGCTGTGTGTGCCTGCCTCTACAATAGGCAAAGTTAACTACAGCTGCACCCAGAATTTCTTTCTGAGCATCGTGGTGTAGTGGTTTGAATGTTGGACTGTGACTCTGGAGACCAGGGTTTGATTCCCTGCTTGACTATGAAACCCACTGGGTGACCTTGGGCTAGTCACATGCTCTCAGCCTCAGGGGAAGGCAATGGCAAGCCTCCTTTGAACAAATCATGCCAAGAAAACCCCGCGATAGAGTTGCCATAAGTTAGAAACAACTTGAAAGCACACAACAACAACAATGCATGAACAGTAAAACAGAAAGACAAGAGGAAAGCAGATAAGCTTGCCTCACCATCTACCCCTAGCAAAACATAGATCTATAAATTTGGCCACCAAAATGAAAATCATAAGAAAAGTAGAAGGAAAGGTCATCCCTGGGTATATTTTGGAAGAAGCTTTCAAGTGAAGTCTTGAAGGTTTATTTATTCATTTATTTATTGGTAAACTTTTTATTTATTTATGATGGATTGTTTCTTGAGATTCGTTAGAAAGCTCAGGAAAATAGGAGAGATTGGTTTAAATCTCACCAGCAAAATGAACAGCAGAAAGCACATGAGCAGAAAAAAGCAAACTAGTCAACTTTTATTCTTCCATCCCCCATGTGTCTTCCAATAAAGAATCAAGACAAAAGTCCTTAGTTAGAGTAATATCAAAAGATAAATTTACTTACAAAATCATGTGCATATTCATACACAGTTAAAGCTTCATATTGCAAAGAAAATGAGGTAAAAAATAGTCTACATGCTTGCAGAGAAAGTTTTTTATCAGCACGCTAGAAAGTTATGCTCTGATCAAAGGCCAAAAGTTATGCTCTGATCAAAGGAGGGAAAGACAATGGCGATCTCTCCAGAGATAAAGAAAAGTGTGCTCTCTTAGAGAAGGAGGAAATGAAGGGGTCATAAAACAATAAAGTATCATAGACATGCATTTTTCTTCCTAGAAAGATTCAGCATGCCTAAGTTGCAGAATCCCCAACAATTTATTTATTTTAATTTTTTTGTAAACTTATGCAAGGTTTATCTGGCCTGGTTGTTTTACTTCACCTGTTTATTTTGTTAGTATATATATATATATATATGTGTGTGTGTGTGTGTGTGTGTGTGTGTGTATTGAGAAATGTTGAACTGCTCTTTTTTGTGGTGCAGGAACCTGTCCCTATTTTTTCCATGTTACTTCTGTCTCTGGTACCATTTTATGTTTGTTTGTTAAAGAAGTAAGGCTCAGGAACATATCTACTTTGTTAAGTGAAGTATACCTGTAATTTGTTGCTTGCCCACACAGACACACATTAAACAAGATAAGCTTTTTTAGTCATGGCCAACAACAATGGTGAGAAAATATTTCTTTTGATTAATTCTGTTGTTTTAAAGTCAGAGATGGAGAAAGGGTTTTCAATGGTGGGCATATCAGCTAGTTGTATGACCCAAAAATGGAATTTTTCCAAGTTCTGGTGAGGGGTGATGATTAAAGGAGAAAGAGCAGGAGTTTGGCTGCAAGGAAGAGGTTCTAGGCTTGGCATCTGAGCACTGAGGTGTATAATTTGGGATGTTTTTGTTTGAAAAAAAGATGCTTTTAAAATGTGCTCATTGTCCACTTAATTTTTACTGTGTACCAGATTGAAGCCTCCCAGCATTCCTAAATCTTTGCCAGCCTGGTATGGGACAACAAATGAGGGGGAAGATGAGGCTGGAGAAGCCAGCCACCAAGAAATGGCCTGCTTAATTCAAACCAGTGTGTGTAATTCACACCCGTAACCCTCATTATGTCACTATCAAGCAGTGAAATAAAAGACACAACTGACAGAATTCTCTTTTTCTGCAGCTCTAAAAAGAAGAAACTTTATCATTGTCTGTACCTTTTTGATTTTTTGGCCAACATCCAGACTGTTGACCCTTCCTTTTCTCTTGCAAATCTTCTTCTAAGGGTGAGATCAACTTAACCTGCAAGCCACATATGGTTCCCCAAGTCTGTTTTGAGACCCCCAGCAGCCCCCAGAAAACATTGCTTCTTTGTTTATGCATGCTAAAAATCCACACATTCTCACACACAATTTCAACAAGGTTTTGGTGTCTCCTTGGCTGTTTTAGACCCAGTAGAACTCTTTGTCTAAGAGGAAAGTAAACCAGAAGTCACACACACACCCCAAAAAAGGGCAAAATTGACCCCATAGGGAGCATGGCAGGTCATTTTTAGTAAATAAGTAACAAAAAGTGGGAAAGGTGACAGTGGGAATGCAGTCCCCAAGCCAGTGGCAGCTGCCCATTCCTGATGTAAGACTTCCTCTCCCTAGATCCCCGTAAGATGTTGCTACCCTCTCCTTGTCTTAACTGTTTTTCTAAGTCCCACATATTCGCCACCCATTGTTCCTTCACATTTTCACCTTCTTTTCCACCCTTATGCCTTCTTGTCCAGCCACCCTGCCTCTTGCAAATCCTTCCTCATCTAAATTATAAAACAATGCTGAGGAATGTGTGGCCCTCTAGCTATAGAACTGCAACTCCCATCACCTTGACAAGATTAGCTATATTAGCTAGACATAATGGAAGTTGAAGTCCAACATCTAAATGGCTTCACATTCCCAACCTTGGTGTACAGTATAGTTTTTCCTGACCCTCCTAAACACTGTGAGATTTCTTCAACAGCCTATTTTCACATCAAATCATTTTTTCCATCTCTTGTTCCTTAATCCTCTGTCTCCTTGATATCTTCTCTCAGGCTGCTCTTCCTTTCCCATTGCTTACTGTGAAAACTACCTTAAGCCAACTTGGCTCCCTACTTGGAAGTCAGCCTTCCAATCTCCCCAACTTTTGTCTGTCCCTAGGGGTTTGGTCAGCTTTAAATCACAGCTGTCAATATCCATTTCCTCCACAGAAGCTGAATTTACAGTTGTTCTGACACCTTTGTTTTCCTGGGTGTTTGTGAATCCTTCTCAGAGGCATGACTGCTACAAGCCCAAGAATATATGAAGATTCAAAATTCAGTTGAAAAAGAAAGCGGACTTTAAAAAAGAAGGAGGGGCACAGAAAGAAAGGAGAGTTGCATGTGATATTTTGTGTTACAGATGCATGCGTGCTGTGCACCTTCAAGTCATTTCTGATTTATGATGATACTATCATAGGTTTTTCTTGGCAAGATTTGTTCAGACAAGGTATGCCACAGCTAAATCTTTTGCTTTTTATGCTATTAGTGTCAAAGTTTGAATTTTGGAGACTAATCAACCCTTTATCTGAAAATGCCACACTTGTCCTCAGAATACTAGTTGAAATTCTTCATTAAAATGGTCTGGCAGTAATCTTACTTGTCTTACTTGTTCAGAACTGGTTGCTTGGCATTCTGCATGGAGGAGGGAGCCTTGTGACAAGATTATTCTCTGTGGCTAACTGCTGTAGTGAATGCAAAGGCATCTTCTAGCACAGGGGTAGGCAACCTTTCCCCTTTAAGGGCCGAGGGACTTCAGCTCCCAGAAGCCTGAGCCATGTTGGCCAATAGTCCCATGTTGGCCAATAGCTCCTGGGATTCTGGGAGCTGAAGTCCCTCGGCCCTTAAAGGGGACAGGTTGCCTACCCCTGTGAATCTAGCACCTTTGAGACTAACTGTGTGAAACAAAGTTGTAGCATAAGCTTTCACAGACTAGACCAAGTCTACAAAAGCTTTGCTACACAATCCATTTGAATACTGATATTCCAGACTAACATGACTATGGACGTTATCACACGTGGGCCAGAAAGCGATAATAAAGTG